TTTTTTTTTTTTTTCATTTTTTTTTTTTTTTTTTTTTTTTTTGGAGATTTAAAGGGATTTCAGGGGATGAGAATCGTAAAAAGATACTTATCTTTATATTATATAGCTTTTACATAGCGATTATAAGCTTCGATCGACGAATTTGAGTTTGGTGGGTCTTATTTATTTGAAAGTATGTGCTATTTCATTTATTATAGTTGAGTAGATTGTAATTGAATAGCGACCGTGTCAGAAATTTGTATTTATAAAACGATGGTTGAAATTGTGGCATCTCAAATGAAAAAAAAGAATAAAAAGACAAAGATCTTCGCTTTTAATAACCATTCACATAAAGTACGTATTACTATATAATTCTCATTTCTAATGCCTGGAACTGTTTCGATCTTCTTCTGGATATTCCCAAAGAAATAAGATACAATTTCTTCTCTCTTATATTATAAATAAAAGAGAGAAAAAGTAAATTAGCAACCATCTATACAGCACAACTATATAAATCCAATTCCTAATACTTGCAATCGTTTCGATCATTCCCTTGAAAAAGAAATAGGATACAATTTTCCCTCTCCCATTTAAAAAAGAAAACAGAAAAATCAGTTCTAACAAGCATTCTCTCAGAACACTGCTACATAAATCTCGAACCTAATGCTCGCAGTTGCCTCGATCCTTTCGTGGACATTCCAAACAGAACACGATACAATTTCCTCTCTGCCATTGCTAATAACAAAAAGGAAAAAGGCAGCCTAACAATCATCCGCTAGCAATCATCCATAGACCTCCACTATATAAATCTCATTTCTAACGTTTGAAATCACCACGATCGTTTCCTGCACGTTCCAAAAGGACTAGGATACAATTTCCTCTCTCTTATTTCTGATGAAAATAAGACAAAAAACCAGTTCTAACAACCATTCTCTCAAAGCATTTCTACATGAATTTCAATTCTAACGTTTGCAATTGTCTCGATCCTTTCGTGAACACTCCAACGAGAATACGATACAATTTGCCCTCTTGCATTTCTAATAAAGAGAAACGACAAATAAAGGAAAGAAAAATCAGTTCTAACAGCCATCCTCCCACAACGCCACTATATAAATCTCATTTCTAATGCTTGGAATTCTGACTCGATCCTTTCTCGGACAGTTCAAAAGAATTAGGATACAATTTGCCCTCTTGCATTTCTAATAAAGGAAAAAGACAAATAAAGGAAAGAAAAATCAGTTCTAACAGACATCTTCCCACAACGCCACTATATAAATCTCATTTCTAATGTTTGCAATCCTGACTCGATCCTTTCGTGGACAGTTCAAAAGGACTAGGATACAATTTGCTCCGTAACATTTCTAAGTAAAAAGAAAGCCAAAAGAATCAATTCTAACAACCGTTTTACCACAGCGCTATTATATAAATCTCATTTCTAATGCCTAGAATCGTGTGGATGCTTTCCTGGCCGATTCTAAAGGAATAGAAAATAAAAGCAGATAGGGATTTTACGATCGACCGGAAGCGATATTCCGATTTGCCTGCGATTACAATGTGTCCGGCGTTTTACGATCAGACGGTGCGGAACGGTTACTGCCCCGATGCCGCGTCTCTCGAAGGAGATCTCGTTTTCTTGTGAGTCGCGAGATATCGTTCCGCGGTGGAGATCGTTAGTCAGGGCTGGCTCGTGCACGGCCGATTCTTGCACGCTTTCGCGTCGAACTGGTTTCACGTTTCGAACGAAACCCGCGTTTATCGGGCTCGGGATCGACCGCGGTTCTCTGCAACCTCGTATCGATAGCAGGGCCGATCTACGGTTTTACGCGGCCGTTCCTACGGCGTCGATTGAATTTTAGAATCTATTTCTGAAGCCCGGTCGATGGACGCGTAGTATCGCGAATGAGTATCTGCATGGTTTCGTCGATTCGTAGTAATGGTATATGAATAGAATTTAGTATGTTCTTAGTATAGCAAATTCGGATATACGCTATCGGCTATAGTTATCAGGCTATCAGCTGATATATAGTACAAATTGCATGCCTTTTATCGCTTCCATTTTCCAGTTATTTTACTACAGATGTGTTGTTCCATTCGCATTAAATATGTTTCATGATGTAACGTACCTGTTAAATGATGTAACATTTGTTCGAATTTTCGAATAAGTGTGCCAATACTTACGATCGGCAGTGTATGTGATTATGATAAGAGGTGAATGTATAACGATAGGATTCGACTCAGCTATTCCTCCAATATGTATATAATATTATGGGGTATATAACATCATCTATATAATATTACGAGGGAATGCAAAGTAAGATTCAAGTAGTTTTGAAAGATCCCATTATAGTAACTCGTGTGTAAAACTCGAATAGATCGCAACGTTCTACGATAAAGTAGGGAAATAGATTTTATACGAAAATCACCTATTATCCTATTATGTTTTCTATTTCGTTATATTTATCCGTACGTAGCGTAAATAATGTAAATTTAATTAATTATGGGATACGAATTATTGGGAAACAAATCATATTATGAAAGAGCTAAATAAATACATCTGTCGTTTGGTTATTTTTGTTCAGATTTATCGCTAGAAATATCAATAGAATCTATTCCTCCTATGACATATTTTACAGGCAGAGGGTACCTGTATGTGTATACTATGATTAAATTGTATCAAATAATATATTCGGAGAAGATATTATTAGATTAGATTCGGATAGATATATTGATATTACGAAAAGGATTATTTGTAATTTCTAACATTGCCTTCAATTTTCTCTCACCATCTTGACTTTTTGTCTCATTTTGTGCATACCAGTTCAGCTACAAAAAGCGCAAGAACGTGTTATATTTTTACTAATTA